CTCTCCCTCCTGCGTTCCAGGGAATACAGGTTTAGAAACCTCAAGCGCTCCCAGTAATTGAGGTGTTTTATCTCCGTTATGCGCGCCGTGAAAGTTCTCTGTACATTTTCTAGGTCGGCAATTTCACCTGCCTTGAAAGGTGCTGTTAGAGTGCAGCAATATTCCAGCCTAGATAGAACAAGTGACCTGAAGAGTGTCATCATGGGCTTGGCCTCCCTAGTTTTGAAGGTTCTCATTATCCATCCTGTCATTTTTCTAGCAGATGCGATTGATACAATGTTATGGTCCTTGAAGGTGAGATCCTCCGACATAATCACTCCCAGGTCTTTGACGTTGGTGTTTCGCTCTATTTTGTGGCCAGAATTTGTTTTGTACTCTGATGAAGATTTAATTTCCTCATGTTTACCATATCTGAGTAATTGAAATTTCTCATCGTTGAACTTCATATTGTTTTCTGCAGCCCACTGAAAGATTTGGTTGATGTCCGCCTGGAGCCTTGCAGTGTCTGCAATGGAAGACACTGTCATGCAGATTCGGGTTCATCTGCAAAGGAAGACACGGTGCTGTGGCTGACATCCTTGTCTATGTCGGATATGAGGATGAGGAACAAGATGGGAGCTAGTACTGTGCCTTGTGGAACAGAGCTTTTCACCGTAGCTGCCTCGGACTTTACTCTGTTGACGACTACTCTCTGTGTTCTGTTAGTGAGGAAATTATAGATCCATCGACCAACTTTTCCTGTTATTCCTTTAGCGCGCATTTTGTGCGCTATTACGCCATGGTCACACTTGTCGAAGGCTTTTGCAAAGTCTGTATATATTACATCTGCATTCTTTTTGTCTTCTAGTGCATTTAGGACCTTGTCGTAGTGGATCCAGTAGTTGAGACAGACAGGAGCGACCTGTTCTAAACCCATGTTGCCCTGGGTTGTGTAACTGATGGGTTTCTAGATGGGTGGTGATCTTGCTTCTTAGGACCCTTTCAAAGATTTTATGATATGGGATGTTAGTGCTATTGGTCTGTAGTTTCTTTGCTGTTGCTTTACTGCCCCCTTTGTGGAGTGGGCTATGTCTGTTGTTTTTAGTAACTGAGGGACGACCCCCGTGTCCATGCTCCCTCTCCATAGGATGGAAAAGGCTCGTGATAGGGGCTTCTTGCAGTTCTTGATGAACACAAGAGTTCCATGAGTCTGGCCCTGGGGCAGAGTGCATGGGCATGTCATTTATCGCCTGTTCGAAGTAAATTTGGCGTCAGGATAACATCGGATAGGCTTGTGTTAATCAAATTTTGTGGCTCTCTCATAAAAAATTCATTTTGATCTTCGACTCTCATCTGGTTAGCGGCTTGCTAAAAACTGAGTCATATTGGGACTTGAGTAGCTCACTCATTTCCTTGCTGTCATCTGTGTAGGACCCATCTTGTTTAAGTAGGGGCCCAATACTGGACGTTGTTCCCCGATTTTTGATTTGGCATAGGAGAAGAAATACTTGGTTTCTTTCGATTTCATTTATGGCTTTTAGTTTTTCCCCCGCGATTCCGACTCCAAAGGATTCTTTTAAGCTTAAGTTCGATGCTTGCTATTTCTCTGACCAGTGTCTCCCTGCGCATTTCTGATATATTGACCTCTTTTAGCCGCTCTGTTATTCTTTTCCGTCGCCTGTAAAGGGAGCGCCTGTCTCTTTCTATTTTACATCTACTCCTCCTTTTTCTTAGAGGAATAACCTTGTGCATACATCGAGTGCCACCGAGTTAATCTGTTCTAGGCATAAGTTTGGGTCTGTGTGCTTAGTATATCTTCCAGTTTAAATATCGGTTAGGACTTGGTTTACTTGGCCCCACTTTATGTTTTTGTTATTGAAGTTGAATTTGGTGAATGCTCCCTCGTGACTATCTCATTTTGTCGGTCTGAGGCTCCACGCATACATGTCTGAACCTCAATTATTTTTGTGATCTGAGTATATTGTTTTTGATATGGTGACATTTCTTATCAGATCATCATTGTTAGTGAAGATAGGTCTAGTGTATTCTCCAGTCTAGTAGGCTCTATTATTTGGCTGGTTTAAATTGAATTTTGTGCAGAGATTTAAAAGCTCGTGTGGTGTGAGTTTTCATCAGAGCTGCCTCCTGGTGTTATTACTGCAACAATATTATTTGCTATATTCCTCCTTTTTAGGTGCCTTAAGTTGAAATCCCCCAGGAGCAAGATGTTGGGTGCAGGAGCGGGAAAAGATTTTCCAGACAGTGGTCAATTTTTAACACTGTTCCTGGAATTGCTGGATGTTGCATCCGGAGGCTTGTAGATTTACCACAATGACTGGGTTTTGGTTCTCGACCTTTACTGCTAAAACTTCCACTACGTCATTTGAGGCATTAAGCAGTTCTGTGCAAACAAGTGACTCTGCAATGTACAGGGCCAACCCCCCCCTTTTGCCTGTTCACTCTGTCACATCTGTATAGTTGTAACCGGGGTCCATATTTCGTTGTCCAAGTGATCCTTTGTGGGTCTCAGTGAAAGCCGCGAACATTGCCTTTGCCTCGCAAGCAGTCCACGGATGAAAGGTATTTTTGTTGTTTTTTGCTGGCTTTAGACCCCGTATATTTGCAAAGAAGAATGTTATCGGACTGGTGGTTTGTTTGGGACTGGGGGGGGATTTTTTTTCCGGCATTAGTATCTGTATCTGTTGGTTTGGGGTGGAGGCCATCGACTGTGGTTCCACTCCAGGAATGACTGGATTTGGTGTACGATTTCTGCCATTTCCTGCCAGTTTTTTTTTCCTTCCTGGCACTAAAAAAACCCCTCCCCCTTGATGGCTGAGGCTACCCAGGTTTTCCCCTGGCCTGGATGTTTTGTATCTTTTTGTCCCTTTAGATGGTATGCCTGGCAAATTTTAAATTTTAGCACATCTTTCCTGTACTGAAGAGGTACACATTTCAGGGTGAAAAAGCTTACAGGAAGGAGTTTGCATTTTCCTGTTGTCATATGGCATGACATTTTCTAGGGTGGTCATAGTTGCATTTTCCCATCTGTTTTTCCAGATTTCCATGCCAGCAGATACCAAGTGCATAGTATGTGCACAGGCTTGGTTTCCGTTTGCCTTGGGGTTTCTGTGACTGTATTTCCCTGTTGGGGCATGTTTCCCTGTCTTATTCCTAATCCTCCTTAGCACCAACAATGGAGCTCCCACCAGTTGTTTTTGGTAATTTAAACCTCACTATTGCTATTGGAGTCCTCTTGTTTGCTATTTTCCCGCGGTAAATTTCGGTTTGCAATATTGGTTTTATCTTATCTTTGACTACACTTGTTTCCCTACTAAGGCTCCTGTCCTCTATGAGGTCATTTATATGTATTCCTTCCTGCGTATAATTTCCCGATACCTGGACAAAATCTCCAGCTTCACCATTACTGTCTACCAGGACAGTATCTCCAGCTTCACCATTTCTGTCTCCCAGACAGCACCTCCACTTTACCATTACTGTCTCCCCGGACAGTATCTCCAGCTTCACCAATTACTGTCTCCCAGGACAGCACCTCCAGCTTCACCATTACTGTCTCCCAGGACAGCACTATCAGCCCTACATTTACTGACTACCAGGACATCACCTCCAGCCTTACAGTTTGTGACTACATGGCCAGTATCAAGGGCAGTACCATTCAGCCCGGACTTTTTATGTTCCCATCTGTTGTAGAAAGCTTCCAGGTTTTCTATGAAAGCAGCTTTGATGTTATCCTCTTTTAATACCCTTGTGATTTTAGTCCACAGATTTTCCTCATTTGGGCATACCCAAAAACACTTCTCTGTTTTTAATACTGCTTGTAGCTAGTTCTGGGATATCTGCACAAGGAGCGTGACACCAATTTCCACAAAAATGACAATTTATCCATGTGGTAGCCCGTTTGTTTGACTGACCACAGACTACACACAGCTTCATAATGATTTGAATGGTTGATTTACTGCAAGTCTACTAGCAACCTCTTGAATATTATATTAATAACCTTAAATGAAGCTCTAGCTATTTGTATTTCTGTTTCTAACTCTTTTTGTATATTGGACAGCTTACCGTCACGTTCCTGATTTTTAATGTTTGTGTTGATCTAGAAGGTGAAAATACAACTTACCAGAGATTAAAATGTTGGTTTTAAACAAGAACAATACTTGTAGTCATGTAATAAATGTTGTCCTCTGCAATGTTACGTTATTATATTAATATATTTATTATTATTATTATTTTCTCACAATATACTTATCAACAAAATTGGATGGTATTTAATAGTAATATTAAAAATTTGTTTGGTGTTAACCCAGGGTAGAGAGTGTTAGCCACCCAGGATAACCCAGGGTAGGGAGTGTTAGCTGCCTTGGATAACTCAGGATAGGGAGGATTAGCCACCCAGAACAGGGAGTGCTAGTCACTCAGGATAACCCAGGATAGGGTTAGCCACATAGGATAACCCAGGATAGGGAGGGTTAGCCACCCAGGATAGGGAGAGTTAGCCAACCAGGATAACCCAGGATAGGGAGGGTTAGCCACCCAGGATAGGGAAGGTTAGCCACCCAGGATAGGAAGGGTTAACCATGCAGGATAGGGAGGGTTAGCCACCCAGGATAGGGAGGGTTAGCCACCCAAGATAGGGAGGGTTAGCCACCCAAGATAGCAAATAAAGTCGTCATTGGGGGCTGTCTTATTTCCACTGGGCTCCTTTTATCTTCTTCCCCAGGATGTGAACCACAACAGTTACCTAACACCCAGGTACCTATTTACTGCTATGTGAACAAGGGTAGCAGGTGTAAGGAAACATGACCAACATTTCACCTGTGCCGGGGAACAATCTCCAGTCACACAGTGTGTGAGCCATGGACTCTTCCAACTGAGCCATGAGTACCCACCAGCAGGGGGTGGTAGCCCCAGGTTATGTAGAGTGTATCAGGCAAACTCAGATGTAACCCAAGACTGATAGAACTTATCTTTTACCAAGTGTTAAATGTGTGGTTATTCTTCAGGAAGGTGAAGGTCGGCTCCCTGGATGTGCATCCCACTGAGAAGGCGTTGGTGGTCAACTATGAACTGGAGGCCACTATCCTGGGTCAACTGGGTGATGCCATGCTGGGAGACAAGAAGGTAACTATGTACTGTACTGGAGGTCACCATGCTGGGAGACAAGAATGTAACTATGTACTGTACCGGAGGTCACCATGCTGGGAGACAAGAAGGTAACTATGTACTGTACCAGAGGTCACCATGCTGGGAGACAAGAAGGTAACTATGTACTGTACTGGAGGTCACCATGCTGGGAGACAAGAAGGTAACTATGTACTGTACTGGAGGTCACCATGCTGGGAGACAAGAATGTATACTATGTACTTACTGGAGGTTACCATGCTGGAGACAAGAATGTAAACTTATGTACTGTACTGGAGGTCACCATGCTGGGAGACAAGAATGTAACTATGTACTGTACCGGAGGTCACCATGCGGGAGACAAGAAGTAACTATGTATTGTACTGGAGGTCACCATGCTGGGAGACAAGAAGGTAACTATGTACTTGTACTGGAGGTCACCATGCTGGGAGACAAGAAGGTAACTATGTACTGTACTGGAGGTCACCATGCTGGGAGACAGGAATGTAACTATGTACTGTACTGGAGGTCACCATGCTGGGAGACAAGAAGGTAACTATGTACTGTACTGGAGGTCACCATGCTGGGAGACAAGAAGGTACCTATGTATTTGTACTGGAGGTCACCATGCTGGGAGACAAGAAGGTAACTATGTACTGTACTGGAGGTCACCATGCTGGGAGACAAGAAGGTAACTATGTACTGTACTGGAGGTCACCATGCTGGGAGACAAGAAGGTAACTATGTATTGTACTGGAGGTCACCATGCTGGGAGACAAGAAGGTAACTATGTACTGTACTGGAGGTCACCATGCTGGAGACAGAATTAACTATGTACTGTACCAGAGGTCACCATGCTGGGAGACAAGAAGGTAACTATGTACTGTACTGGATGTCACCATGCGGGAGACAAGAATGTAGCTATGTACTGTACCGGAGGTCACCATGCTGGGAGACAAGAAGGTAACTATGTACTGTACTGGAGGTCACCATGCTGGGAGACAAGAATGTAACTATGTACTGTACCGGAGGTCACCATGCTGGGAGACAAGAAGGTAACTATGTACTGTACTGGAGGTCACCATGCTGGGAGACAAGAATGTAACTATGTACTGTACCGGAGTCACCATGCTGGAGACAAGAAGGTAACTATGTATTGTACTGGAGGTCACCATGCTGGGAGACAAGAATGTAACTATGTACTGTACCGAGGTCACCATGCTGGAGACAAGAAGGTAACTATGTACTGTACTGGAGGTCACCATGCTGGGAGACAAGAATGTAACTATTTTAACTGTACCAGAGGTCACCATGCGGGGGAGACAAGAAGGTAACTATGTACTGTACTGGAGGTCACCATGCTGGAGAACAAGAAGGTAACTATGTACTGTACTGGAGGTCACCATGCTGGGAGACAAGAATGTAACTATGTACTGTACCGGAGGTCACCATGCTGGGAGACAAGAAGGTAACTATGTACTGTACTGGAGGTCACCATGCTGGGAGACAAGAAGGTAACTATGTACTGTACTGGAGGTCACCATGCTGGGAGACAAGAAGGTAACTATGTACTACTGTAATGTACTAGCTACTAGACACAAAGACAAACCTTGAATGATTGGAATCAAGAGAAGGATTTGATGTTCTGTATGATTTTATATCTTAAACAATTGTCAGTAAATTGAGAAAGTCAGAGTGTTCATGAGTGTTCACTTGCTTAATGTGTTGAGAGAGAAAGTCTCAGGGATTTTCTCGAGTGTATAACTCAGTTGATTGTAGTGAACACTGAACTGCAGTACCATTGTTTGTGGTGAGCACTGAACTGCAGTACCATTGTTTGTGGTGAGCACTGAACTGCAGTACCATTGTTTATGGTGAGCACTGAACTGCAGTACCATTGTTTGTGGTGAGCACTGAACTGCAGTACCATTGTTTGTGGTGAGCACTGAACTGCAGTACCATTGTTTGTAGTGAACACTGAACTGCAGTACCATTGTTTGTGGTGAGAGCACTGAACTGCAGTACCATTGTTTGTAGTGAACACTGAACTGCAGTACCATTGTTTGTGGTGAGCACTGAACTGCAGTACCATTGTTTGTGGTGAGCACTGAACTGCAGTACCATTGTTTGTGGTGAGCACTGAACTGCAGTACCATTGTTTGTAGTGAACACTGAACTGCAGTACCATTGTTTGTGGTGAGCACTGAACTGCAGTACCATTGTTTATGGTGAGCATTGAACTGCAGTACCATTGTTTGTTGTGAGCACTAAACTGCAGTACCATTGTTTGTGGTGAGCACTGAACTGCAGTACCATTGTTTGTGGTGAGCACTGAACTGCAGTACCATTGTTTGTAGTGAACACTGAGCTGCAGTACCATTGTTTGTGGTGAGCACTGAACTGCAGTACCATTGTTTGTAGTGAACACTGAGCTGCAGTACCATTGTTTGTGGTGAGCACTGAACTGCAGTACCATTGTTTGTGGTGAGCACTGAACTGCAGTACCATTGTAATGAGCACTGAGCTGCAGTACCATTGTAATGAGCACTGAGCTGCAGTACCATTGTAATGAGCACTGAGCTGCAGTACCATTGTTTGTGGTGAGCACTGAACTGCAGCACCATTGTTTGTGGTGAGCACTGAACTGCAGCACCATTGTTTGTGGTGAGCACTGAACTGCAGCACCATTGTTTGTGGTGAGCACTGAACTGCAGCACCATTGTTTGGGGTGAGCACTGAACTGCAGCACCATTGTTTGTAATGAGTACTGAACTGCAGTACCATTGTAATGAGCACTGAGCTGCAGTACCATTGTAATGAGCACTGAACTGCAGTACCATTGTTTATAATGAACACTGAGCTGCAGTACCTTTGTAATGAGCACTGAGCTGCAGTACCATTGTAATGGACACTGAGCTGCAGTACCATTGTAATGAGTACTGAACTGCAGTACCATTGTAATGAGTACTGAACTGCAGTACCATTGTAATGAGTACTGAACTGCAGTACCATTGTTTGTAATGAGTACTGAACTGCAGTACCATTGTAATGAGTACTGAACTGCAGTACCATTGTAATGAGTACTGAACTGCAGTACTATTGTAATGAGCACTGAACTGCAGTACTATTGTAATGAGTACTGAACTGCAGTACCATTGTAATTAGTACTGAACTGCAGTACCATTGTAATGAGTACTGAACTGCAGTACCATTGTTTGTAATGAGCACTGAACTGCAGTACTATTGTAATGAGTACTGAACTGCAGTACCATTGTAATGAGTACTGAACTGCAGTGCCATTGTAATGAGTACTGAACTGCAGTACCATTGTTTGTAATGAGTACTGAACTGCAGTACCATTGTTTGTAATGAGTACTGAACTGCAGTACCATTGTTTGTAATGAGTACTGAACTGCAGTACCATTGTTTCTAATGAGTACTGAACTGCAGTACCATTGTTTGTAATGAGCACTGAACTGCAGTACCATTGTTTGTGGTGAGCACTGAACTGCAGTACCATTGTTTGTAGTGAACACTGAACTGCAGTACCATTGTTTGTGGTGAGCACTGAACTGCAGTACCATTGTTTGTGGTGAGCACTGAACTGCAGTACCATTGTTTGTAGTGAACACTGAACTGCAGTACCATTGTTTGTGGTGAGCACTGAACTGCAGTACCATTGTTTGTGAACACTGAACTGCAGTACCATTGTTTGTAATGACCATTGAACTGCAGCACCATTGTTTGTGGTGAGCACTGAACTGCAGTACCATTGTTTGTAATGAGCACTGAACTGCAGTACCATTGTTTGTAATGAGCACTGAACTGCAGTACCATTGTTTGTAATGAGCACTGAACTGCAGTACCATTGTGGTGAGCACTGAACTGCAGCACCATTGTTTGTGGTGAGCACTGAACTGCAGTACCATTGTTTGTAATGAGCACTGAACTGCAGTACCATTGTTTGTGGTGAGCACTGAACTGCAGTACCATTGTTTGTGGTGAGCACTGAACTGCAGTACCATTGTTTGTGGTGAGCACTGAACTGCAGTACCATTGTTTGTGGTGAGCACTGAACTGCAGTACCATTGTTTGTGGTGAGCACTGAACTGCAGTACCATTGTTTGTAGTGAACACTGAGCTGCAGTACTATTGTTTGTGGTGAGCACTGAACTGCAGTACCATTGTTTGTGGTGAGCACTGAACTGCAGCACCATTGTTTGTGGTGAGCACTGAACTGCAGTACCATTGTTTGTAATGAGTACTGAACTGCAGTACCTTTGTGGTGAGCACTGAACTGCAGTACCATTGTGGTGAGCACTGAACTGCAGCACCATTGTTTGTTATGGGCACTGAACTGCAGTACCATTGTAATGAGTACTGAACTGCAGTACTATTGTATAAGAATCCTTTTAATTGAACTCAAAATTTAAGAGTAAGCAGATACGGTAAATGTTGTAAATTAAAGTTATAGTGTAGGCTTAGAAGCCATTATTATTGTTTTTGGTCATGAATTTAAAGCACACTGAAAAATATAATTTTTAACTCATTAACCATTTAAATTTTCAGGAATGTCAAAAAATCATTCGGTTGAAGAGTCTGGACAACAACACAGACATTGCAGTACTTGCAAGAGAAGTGGTGGACAAGTGCAAGCTGATTCATCCATCTAAACTGAACGAAGTTCAACATCTCATCACCTACTTGCTCTCACGCAAAGACACTGCTAAAGGTTCACTATACTTACCTCTTCTTGTATGATAATTTTTCCCTTGTCACACAAGACACTGCTGAAGGTGCAAAACTTATCTCTTCTTGTGTGATAATTTTTTCCATTTTCACAAAGACACTGCTGAAGGTTGGATGGTTTCCTCCTCTTGTATGAGATTTTTTCCTCATATACAAAGACACAACTTGATGTTTAATGTTTTTCTCTCATTGTATCAGACTTATCCAACTAAACAATTAAATAACAAATACAGTACGTACTGTTCTGTGTTGGTAGTGTTTGGTATCACCTGAAAAGGGAACTTACATAGGTTGGAAATTTTTTTTCCTCCAAGATTTTCATTTATAACTGGAGAATACCTCACCCTACTGACTTCAGATTTCCATCCCTGATGCACCATAACTAGTGGATGGTTGAAGTTGTTGGTAGCGTGTGCAGCTCATGGTAGTAGACTGCCAGACAGTGAGGGATAACTGTCTTCTCAAATGGAAACCAGCTATTTTTTGTTTTTCACTCTGGCAGGATTGCTGATTGTTTCTTTGTGATTCATTCACATGTAAGATGAGAGATAAATCATAGTCTTTGACCATCAGCATACACATGCCTTACTTTCATAATGTGCTTTTTTTTGTAATAGGTCTAAATCCTGTAATATTTCCTTTCCAAACTATGAGATCAGATCTGAGACCAAGTTGTGGAGAAGATAATCTCCAAAACCATTAATGGGTAACTGTCCTTTTGTCCATTTTATAAACCTGTATGTGATTTTTGGTTTCTGTGTGATACCTTGAGAATGCCTCTTTTGATCAGCTTCAAACTTTCACTCTGGTGTCTCCTACTGAGATGAAGGTTCATGGAGTGTGTAGTTACCAATTTGCAAATATTATAGTGTATCAAGTTTTGGGTTATTTTTTCTTTGGAATAACTTGAGAATGTCTTTTCTGAACAGCTTAAATCCTTAAAGAATGATGCATCTTATAGGAAAGAAGATTCATTATGAGTCTAGTTAGCCGGACTTGAGTCCTGGAGGTGGGAAGTACAGTGCCTGCACTCTGAAGGAGGGGTTTGGAATATTTACTGTTTAGATGGACATTTAAACTGTTGTATCTGCGTGCCTCTGGCAAGACAGGGGTAGTGTGAATGATGGTGAAAGTGTCTTTTTCGGGTCCCCCTGCCTCGGTGGGAGACAGTCAGTGAGTTAAAAAGAAAGAGTAAATCTGCAATAGTAAAAATAATTTTGGATTATTGGTTTCAGCGTTGTGATTGGTCTTGGGCTGTGTTGGTGCAAATTTATTATAGAAATTGGGATACTTGGTTTCATGTTATAACTTTTAATACTGGTTGCCTCTGTTGAGCAACTTCAAACCTTCAATGATGATGAATGTTACTTAGAGAAAAGCTCAGTTTATTACAGTTCCTGGACCTCTTAATATGAACATATTCTTCAATAAGGTGACCCCCCCCCCTCTGTTATTGATGCACATTTAAGTTTCTTTCATTTATGCCAAAAGATTTATGAAGGAATTCAGGGAAACCAGTGAGCCGGACTTGAGTCATGGTGGTGGGAAGTACAGTGTTTGCACTCTGAAGTAGGGGTAGAGGTGGGAAGTACAGTGTCTACACTCTGAAGGAGGGGTAGAGGTGGGAAGTACAGTGTCTACACTCTGAAGGAGGGGTAGAGGTGGGAAGTACAGTGTCTACACTCTGAAGGAGGGGTAGAGGTGGGAAGTACAGTGTCTACACTCTGAAGGAGGGGTATAGGTGGGAAGTACAGTGTCTACACTCTGAAGGAGGGGTAGAGGTGGGAAGTACAGTGTCTACACTCTGAAGGAGGGGTATAGGTGGGAAGTACAGTGTCTGCACTCTGAAGGAGGGGTAGATAAGATAATATAAGATAAGATTTCATTTGGATTTTTAACCCCGGAGGGTTAACCACCCAGGATAACCCAAGAAAGTCAGTGCGTCATCGAGGACTGTCTAACTTATTTCCATTGGGGTCCTTAATCTTCTCCCCCAGGATGCGACCCACACCAGTCGACTAACACCCAGGTACCTATTTGCTGCTAGGTGAACAGGACAACAGGTGTAAGGAAACGTGTCAAAATGTTTCCACCCACCGGGAATCGAACCCAGGCCCTCCGTGTGTGAAGCGGGAGCTTTAACCACCAGGCCACCGGGCCACCTCCACCAGGCCACCGGGCCACCTGGGAAGTACAGTGTTTACACTCTGAAGGAGGGGTAGAGGTGGGAGGTACAGTGTCTACACTCTGAAGGAGCAGTAGAGGTGGGAAGTACAGTGTCTACACTTTGAAGGAGGGGTGGTGGTGGGAAGTACAGTGTCTGCACTCTGAAGGAGGGGTAGAGGTGGGAAGTACAGTGTCTACACTCTGAAGGAGGGGTAGAGGTGGGAAGTAGAGTGTCTACACTCTGAAGGAGGGGTAGAGGTGGGAAGTACAGTGTCTACACTCTGAAGGATGGGTGTAGGTGCAAAGTACAGTGTCTGCACTCTGAAGGAGGGGTGGTGGTGGGAAGTACAGTGTCTGCACTCTGAAGGAGGGGTGTAGGTGGGAAATACAGTGTCTACACTCTTAAGGAGGGGCGTAGGTGGGAAGTACAGTGTCTGCACTCTGAAGGAGGGGTGTTGGTGGGAAGTACAGTGTCTGCACTCTGAAGGAGGGGTAGAGGTGGGAAGTACAGTGTCTACACTCTGAAGGAGGGGTAGAGGTGGGAAGTAGAGTGTCTACACTCTGAAGGAGGGGTAGAGGTGGGAAGTACAGTGTCTACACTCTGAAGGATGGGTGTAGGTGCAAAGTACAGTGTCTGCACTCTGAAGGAGGGGTGTAGATGGGAAGTACAGTGTCTACACTCTGAAGGAGGGGTGTAGGTAGGAAGTACAGTGTCTGCACTCTGAAGGAGGGGTGGTGGTGGGAAGTACAGTGTCTACACTCTTAAGGAGGGGTGGTGGTGGGAAGTACAGTGTCTGCACTTTGAAGGAGGGGTGTAGGTGGGAAATACAGTGTCTACACTCTTAAGGAGGGGTGTAGGTGGGAAGTACAGTGTCTGCACTCTGAAGGAGGGGTGGTGGTGGGTAGTACAGTGTCTGCACTCTGAAGGAGGGGTGGAGGTGGGAAGTACAGTGTCTGCAATCTGAAGAGGGTGGAGGTGGGAAGTACACTGTCAGCACTCTGAAGAGGGGTGGTGGTGGGAAGTACAGTGTCTGCACTCTGAAGAGGGTGGAGGTGGGAAGTACAGTGTCTGCACTCTGAAGAGGGGTGGTGGTGGGAAGTACAGTGTCTGCACTCTGAAGAAGGTGGAGGTGGGAAGTAGTGTCTGCACTCTGAAGAGGGGTGGAGGTGGGAAGTACAGTGTCTGCACTCTGAAGAGGGGTGGTGGTGGGGAGTATGGTGTCTGCACTCTGAAGAAGGGTGGAGGTGGGAAGTACAGTGTCTGCACTCTGAAGGAAGGAGGGGTGGTGGTGGGAAGTACAGTGTCTGCACTCTGAAGGTGGGGTGGCAGTGGGATGTACAGTGTCTACACCCTGAAGGAGGAGTGGCAGTGGGATGTACAGTGTCTGCACTCTGAAGGAGGGATGTTAATGTTGCAATTTTTGAACTGTAGTATCAGTAGGCATCTGGCAAGACAGTGAAGTGAATGATGATGAAAGTGTTTCTTCTTTTTTGGGTCACCTGCCTCAGTGGGAAACAGCTGATGTATTAAATTTGTCTCCTATTTATCAATTTGGGATTATTTTTAATGAGTAGTCTACTCACAGCTTTGGCTTCTTTATCAGGATATGCTACTGAAATGAGATGGAAAAAGTTATATTATTAGATTACCTGATCATCAGAACAATACCAACCACAAAATGTTCTGCAATGATGAATAATGGAACTCAAAGAAACACACAAGAAAAAACTGTTGTTTAGAAACAGATTCTTCATAGAATTATTGGTCATCGTTGTAGGAGTTGGAGGCTGGCAGTGAGAGGTTAATAATAGTTTTATTAGTAATCCAAATAACAGTAATTTTTAAAGGATTTTTAGACGTGACTAGTCACTGTGATTCACTTCTTTAAGAACACTGAGGGAAGTTTGAACTCCTTAAGCTTCAGTTTCACTATTTGTTGCCTCAGATATAAATAAAACATGTTTATTATTTGCTGTGCAAATGAAGTGATGAATGTTATCCTAACTGAAAGAAAGGCAGCAAAATTATTCAGTATTCTTGAATAGTCTCTGCAGCGCCTGACTCTACTTATCTAGAACAAACTATGTTTGTACTTTACTGTGTACTGAAACCATGAAAATGTTTATGAGGTTCAGAAAAAGGTTTCTTCAGTTCATAGATTGCAATAAAATAATTGGAAAAGAGAACATTAATAATTACAAGAGAGCCTCTTCTTATACATCAAGTTAGGTTCTGGGGTACTGCCATACTGTGAAAATCACTGCAAAGTCAAACATAGTCTTTTTTCACTTTCAGATGCACATAGAAGCCTAATAATATACTTACACTATCATATATTAAGTGAGCAATAGAACTAGACCTAAAAACTGCATGTACAGTACACGCATTACTTACCTTAAAATATTTTTGCCCTTAGCTTATAGTAAGTGGTGAATATATTTTTTGTAGGAAGTCTGAATAAATGAAGTATAGGTATAATTGCAAACCACTGCATTACTGGAATGCTGTAAAGTGAAGTGCTGTAAAGTGTGGCCTCCTGTATTAACAGCACGAGGTTCACAGACAAAAATACAGTAGAGAGAAAATAGCATATATGAGTTTAGAAAAATCAGTTCAAAAATAATTTTTTTTTCTGGATTGCCTTATTGAAAACACGAGAGGTGGAGTCAAATTTCAGTGTTTTGCAGAAATATCCTGTAAAGAGTGTTGAAAATGGAAAAGAAAAACTGGAAATTTGTGTAATACATGCAGTGTAGATGTGTCTAAGGATCTGATTGTGCTCAGTAGTGTGTGTGCGTGTATGTGTTTCAGAATTG